AACGACAAATAAACGCCTTGAATTGGAGCACAATGGGGCCCCAATGGGTTGTTTACTTCAAAGTCGTCAAAATACAGGAAATATGGTAAAACCAGTCCATCTGTTTTATTGGAATTCAACATTATTTTTTTCCATAAATAGCCATTCACAAAATTGCAGAAGTTGGTCTGTTTGTTTAAGACCTTAAGCCTTTCTGAAAAGCAGTCAAAGATATTTGGAATTTCAAAAAATTGTTTTAAATGAAATTTTATAGGAAATATTGCACCTTTTCTTTTTTTTGACCTTAAAGTCATTCTGTTTTTGAATCTCTGCGAACTTACTTGGTCATCTATGGTAATAATAAGAGGGTCTTTATAAATATTTTTTTCTCTAAGAATTTTTAATAATTGATATTCACTGCTTGCAGTTTTAAACGGATTTTGACAAAAATTAAGGATATGGTCAATATTAAAATGATTATCTGCTAAATTGGACCGAACTGTTCGAAGTTCCCTAACTAACGGTGTTGTTATATGTTTTTGAATTTCTTTTTGTAATTTGAACACGTCCTGACGAGGAATACTTAGTTTTGAAATGATGGATAAAGTGAATTTTTCGCTGTTATTCAGGAAATTTGTACTTTTCTGTTCGCAGTTGATATCTGACCTACTTAGACTGTTTTCTACTTCGAGAGAAGAGATATGAGATGCCGATGATTGGCTTTGAAATATTGGGCTTTTTGTGGACAATCGAACAGGGCTATGGCTATTGATATGCAAATTTTGGTTTCGCATATGTTTTTTAAAAGATTTGATGTTCGAAAATGATTGATGACAAGATAAAAAACCGCAAGGCAAATTTATAAGAGCGTTAAGCGTATGAAGTTCTTGCATGTGTGTTAGAAATGACTCGCTTTCGGAGAAACTTAAAGGGCAAATTTTACACTTCAGTGCCATTTTTAATAAGAATTAATTAAAGGAAAATGGAAAATGAAATTAAATATTAAAACTTAAGAACTATCAATTAAAAATGAAACAAAAACTTAAAATTTGAAATTAAATTCATAAATCTTAAAATTAGGTATTTTTCTGATAAATGTATGAATATGTAACGTAAGAACTAAGAAATCTTAAAGTTGAAATTAAATTCATAAATCTTAAAATTAGGTATTTTTCTGATAAATGTATGAATATGTAACGTAAGGACTAAGAAATCTTAAAGTTGAAATTAAATTCATAAATCTTAAAATTAGGTATTTTTCTGATAAATGTATGAATATGTAACGTAAGAACTAAGAAATCTTAAAGTTGAAATTAAATTCATAAATCTTAAAATTAGGTATTTTTCTGATAAATGTATGAATATGTAACGTAAGGACTAAGAAATCTTAAATTTTGCTAGTGTTTAATGAAATTAAAGTTAAGAAAGAAAAAAATAGAATATTTGAAAAATCTAAATATTGGTATAATCTAAATTCTTAAAATCATTTAACAGCTCAAAGAGAGCTTTGTTTTTAGGGTCTGTTTTAAGATCAATTTCAAAAATTTGCTTTTGAATAAATGCCCAAACTAATTGACACTCTGTTTGGTATTCTAGATTTAAAACAAAAAAATAGCTTAAATCAAATATCGATACTTTTTTTCAAGCTTGGCAACCTATAAAAAATACCTGACATATACACAAAAAAATCTGTAAAATGTAGAACATCAGTCCCAATGCAACAAACAAACGGCTGAAGTTTCGTCCTCTCCGAATAGCAGTCTTCAGTTTGCTCCTTTATAAATGTCTTCAGCTCAGCTAAGGTGTTTTTCCACACGATGAATTTAGCTCGTGAGTCTGCGATCGTGTGCTTCGCTGCTATCCGTCCGAATTCCGTTTTTTTTGTCCTTGTTGTTGGAATAAGGACAGCATGAATGCTCATCCAAACAATTATTTCCTGGGATTCTTAAGGAAGAAAAAAAATGTTATTAAAATCAAGATTACAATTTATTCATACGTACCTTCAGACTGCCGCTCGAAGTCCTTTAACAGGTTTAAACTTTGCTGTTCATTAATTTTTGATTTTAGCAGTGGTACTATTTTCCGCTTAAAATCATCCCACCTGTCAATGAAATTATTGGCTTGGCGGGGATATAACCTGTTAAAGTCGTCTTCAATCTTAAACGAAAACGTTTTAAAAAAAGAATTTTATATATTGATATAAAAAGAACTTACCAATACATATCCGAAGGACTCATATAATATTGGAAGTTCCTCCAAAATAGTCGAAAGATTCGTTTCCGATTTTAAAAACGACGTCCTCCACTGGAAAGTAAGCTGCCAATATTTTAAAACCGCATCGAATGGCTCGACATTCAACTTTAGCCAGGTCCTTCCTACATCGGCTTTTCCTACAAAATTACAAATATGTTATTTAAATTGAATTAAAATTAATTTGTTTATAAAAACTTGCCTTCATCGGCATAACTGTTCGGGGGTAGGTTTTCCACGTTTTCAGATATTTTTTCTCGTGCACAGAACTTTGCTTTTAAATTGTAAAAGTGGCTATACAATAATCCACCCGGTTTTTTTCCTTTATTTTTAATAAAATAAGTTTCCTAAAAAATAAAATTTTTTCAAATGTAAAACTTTTAAAAATATTTATCTTACTGTTGTCTCCGAAGGGAAAAGTTGCACTATTTGGTTCGACACGTCTTCTAGGAGATTTTGCTTCGGCTGTATTTTGCGTGCCAGAAAATACTCAATAATAACGCGGCTTAACTCTTTTCTTGTTCTTCCGTTTAGAGTTTTAAGCATTCGAAAATTATTAAGAATTAATTTTCCCTTCTGGCTTTGTGCAATTATTGTCCCTATTTCAATGCCTGATGTTGGTGTTGATGGATGAAAATTTTCAGTTCCGGGCTGTGGAGCAATACTGGCTTCGTCCTGCGTCAAAAAAAATATGAAAATGAGGCACCAACACAAATATGTAAATGCATGTATTTGTGTGTTGGCCAACACACAAATGTGTTGGCCAACACACAAATTTTTTTCATAAAGGATTCGTTAGTCAGCCAACACACAAATACATGCATTTACATATTTGTGTTGGTGCCTCATTTCATATTTGAACATGAGGCACCAACACAACGTGTTCAATTATTGACTACTTATAAAATATTAAATATTAAAATATGTACTCACATTTTGTTTTAATTGTTTTAAATTATTAAAAAAAACAACCGCCGCACCCACAAGCTCCGTTGGAATTTCTCCACGGAGTTGTTCCCAAGTGAGGCACTTGACTCCATTAATGGTAAAATTGCGTTCTAGGTTAGATTTTTAGATTAAGATAACTGACACCAATAACAACAAGCATAAATATAAACTTACCTTCAAAAATTTTGAGAAACATTTCTCCATTTACCTCCTTCAACCACGACTCCATATTTTTTACACACGCACCCCTTCACTTTTTTTCTCATAATAAAAAATGCAGGCACAATAGTGCTGTCAAAACATCGGAGCACTATCGATACTATCGATGTTTGACTTAACCTTAATAGTAAATAGTAACCTGTAGTTACAAGGCGAATTCGCCATAATTTCAGGAAAAAGTAACACACCAAAATAAGGCAATTCGCCCGTAATATTAGAAAAAAACTAAACGAAGCAAATCCGAAAATTTTGCCCTAAATTTGAGGAAAATATGTAAATTAACCCTAAAAAAGTGTATTTATGGCGGCTTTTCTTGGTTTTACGGTGCCTGCCTTAAATTCATGAAAACCTTTTCTTAATTCCAGAAAAATTTTCTTAGTTTAAGGGCGTTTATTTTGTATGGCGATTTTTCTTAAATATAGAAAATTATTTTTATGAGTGTATGTAGCTATAAAAAAAGAATGAAACAGAAATACAAAAAAAAGAGGGAGAAAATAAAAACATCCGGCGCCCTTTGCCCATGTCACTCAAGTTCAAGGTTCGCACGCTGTCGGTTAAGGTTACGCTTTTGTATTATCGCTGAATTGTCACAAGTCTGCGCTTTGTCTCGCAACGAGCGCTTTGAAAAATTACAATAATTGTTATTTACGCATATCTGAACATGAAATGTGTCAATTGGCAACCAACGAGCTAGCAAAGAATGGCTCAACGTGGCGTATGCGTAATGTGTGAAAAGGGACACAAGGTCTGCCAGTAAGAGAGTGTGCGGGTGTGTGTGTGTGAAGCGGGTGTTTTCGACAAATATCAGACAAATGCTGTCATGCCTTCATAATTTTGGTTCATAAAGCGATTTCGGGTATAAACATCCACAGAGCGACTTCAGTCGTTCTTTGGTCAAGACGCAAAGTCAGCCCACAAGATATATTCTGAACTTGTAATCCGATTGAATAGGTTAAATAATATCAAATGCTTATGGGCAATATAAATCCGATTTCAAAGAAGAGCATCCTGGCTTCGTGTTGAATTTGTTTTCTGTGGCCATACCACATTGATTGCCTAGCCTAATGCGTCTCATTTGTTAGAACATTTTTGTCTTTGCCCTCTGGAACTTCAATGGTTTATTTTTCTTTTCGTGGGTTCACGGGTTTTTTTCCTTCTATACAGAGAAATAAAATTAAAGAATAAATATATTTTGGTTTTAAAGAAGCAATAATTTAAAGCTTTAAAAATAGTTATTGAACTAGGAACTTCTTTAAAATATTTATTGTTTTATTAGATAACTCATTTAATATCTCTCAATTTGAAGCTCATTTCATGGCCTTTGGCTCTGTATAGCTTCTCTCATTTTTTCCCCTTTGTCACCGATTTTTTTGTGTACAAATTTTTTGTATTAAACAATTTGCATTGGCCTCAATTAGCGGGCTTTAAAACAAACGTCAATGGTGTCGGCATTAAATTGAAGTCGGACTTATCCATATATAAATAGGAAACATCACCGACCCTTTGACTGGCAGTTGTGTAAAGAGCATTGACGCGGTTTGTCGATTGAATTAAATATAAATATCATATTTTCATCGTTGAATTAAATATTTAAATATTTAAATATGCGTCGGGAGCGAGTGTTGCCGCTGGCACAGCCTATGTTGCTGCTGCTGTGGCCGCTGATGTTGCTGTTGCTGCTGCCATTGATGTTGCTGCCAGGCACGCACTTGAGTGGCGCAGTAGCGGCGGCGGCTGTGGCGACGTCGTCTGTTGACAAGGATGTGGCACCAGTTGGCGATGTAAAAACGGATTTGCTGTCATTTGAGCAGGAAATTGGCGGCTCTGCGGTGCGGCAGGGAACAGTGCGGAATCTGCTTCCGGGACAGCAGCGGCGACGGCGGCGTGGCATCTTCTTTAGCGGCAGCTTCACCGGTTTCCCCTTCGCGGCCTGGAGTGGCGGTTATTCCTGGTCATTTCCCGGTTACCCGTACAACTATTACGGCTCCACGCCGGGCTATTACGGCTATGGCAGCGGTTACTATCCCGGCTACCTGGGCTATCAGAAAATTATCATCGGCTAATGCGGCACTCTGGGACTAAGAAAAAAATAACGAAGCAAAAATCATTCAATGTGAGATTATAAATAATGCACAGGAAGGCCCCAGGACCCGTTCGCAATTTGTTATTTTACACTGAAAAACCAACTAGTCGAGGAATACAAATATTAATTGACTTGGAAAAGTGGCTTGCAATCAGAATTTCAATCTTTTGATTTGTAAAATAAACCCTCACCAATGTTAATAAATTGAAAACAAATTTAATAATAAGAAAAATGAAACTACAACTGTTTTTTACGATGTGAAATATATTTTAAATACAATTTACAATTTTTAAATTAAATATAAATGCTTACAGCTTTCGTTTCACATATTTTAGGGAACAGTTTTGTGTTAGTTGTTAGTTTTATTTTTAATATAAATCCTTCATCTATAATTTTTAATACCGAATTTACTTTCTCCTCGTGTACTTATTGTGTACTTGTGGCGATTGTTGTTGCTGCTTTTAAATTAATTTGCCGGACATAAAAAGTTGAGCTAAGTTGGGGCCGGGACAGCAAAAAGAACAACATGAAATTGCACAATTTATATTCATTTTTGTTAACGTTGGTTTTTCGGTGGGGGCACAGATTTTGCATAAATCATTTCACAGCCACCGAAATGAAACGCGTAACATAATTTTTAACCCTTGATAATTTTTTATGACAAGCATTTTCGTTATATTCCCTTCTGTCTGCGGGTCGTCGTCGTCGTCGTCGTCGATGCTCTGTGGGCCGCAGTGAAATGCAAATAAAGCGGATCAAAAGTTTGCTGTTAAAAGAAGATTAATTGCAATTTGGTGGCAAGACCTGAAACATTTCGTGACCCCCCGCACCCACAGCGGCCAGGACCGGTTGGTAATTAAATATTTTTAAGCTGTAAATGGTTTCCATTTGCGTGATGCTGTTCTTATTTTGTATTTGCAATCAATAAAATTCATTAAACGCGCACTTTGCCAGAACAACAGCAGCAGCAACAACAACAAGAACAATGCAGACAAACAAAAAGGGGGAAACAGGGGGCAAACAAAAACAATGGAAAGCATTTTGGCCGTAGTCTTAGTTTCAATTGCCACTCGGCAGTTGTAAATTGTTCCACTATAAGTGCCGGGCCGCAATTGTTGCAGTTCCCGCAAGTGGCTATTGTTTATTCATTCATTCACTCCGCTTTATAATCATTTTATTGCCGAGGTATGCTGGTTTTTTAATCAATTTACATAATTTATGTATTTTTTATGGACCCAACTCCCAGCGGTTTGCTTTTGGTTTGTGAATTGTTAAAGAATCGTTATGTTTCAGTTTTGATAGTTGATCTGCTGTAATATTGAATTATCCTTACATAAGCAATTGTCACATTGCAAATCATTAATAATTAATTATTGATTCAACAGCAGGATAAGCATCGCCTACAGGGACTTTTGTTGTTTAATCAAGGGTCCACTTTCTATTTTTTTTGTATTAATTACATTAAATAGCAGTCAAGCGCTTTTGGCTTTAAGGATTTTTAAGTGCAATGAATATGAGCTTTGTGTGATTTTCTAAATTTTATACATTGTTATTCAGATACAATGATTTTTACCCAGATAAATATAAATATGAAATGTATTCACTTAATACTTCCCTAAGCCATATTTTTCATTTAACTAGCTTCTCAGATTTCGTCCAATTTGAATTAATATAATTACTTTATTTCTGCAGTTTAAAAAACCATTCTAACAACCATAGTTTAAATTTAAACCTTTATTAACTAGAAGTTCTGTCTGATATTTGAGCTGGTTAATGAGCTATTTGAGTCATTCCAACTCTATGATTAACTATTTGAGCAATTAATAGCTCACACGTTTCTCTGCGGTTTCAACCCACACTGACGCCTAGATCCCATCCTTAACCCCTTTTTTTTTTGTGTCTTGGACCCACCTGTAATTAATAGTTTCCGACTGACCATTTTTCGTATTGTGAAGGCAGAAAGGGCCAGAGAAATAACGGCTATCCGCGAAACGAGGAGGCGGTCCAAATTGAGGGTATTCGAAATTTTAATAGAGCTGTCAGTTTACCACTGGCACTTCCACTTTTCCACTTTTCCGGATGGGCGGAGCGACCTCCAACCGGTTGCCATCCGTCCGTCCAATCAGTCATCCGGGCGGGAGCTGCCTACTCCGGCCAGGCCGGGCACTTGTGCCCATTGTGCTGGCTTTTCATAATTGAAACGAGGTCAAAACCAGCGAACCTCATTAAAAATTGAATTGTTTAATTTTCATTTGATTTAATTAAGTTATTTGTTGGTCAATTAACCTTTTTTCCACTGCTCGTTCTTCCGTTTGCCATTGTTGTTGTCTGACATATCAATACGATGTAGTAAATAGTGTATATAAATATGTGTATATAACTATATATGTACATGTGTCGGTTGCAGTTGTTTGTGCTGACATTATATTGTTTTTGTTGCAATGATTGCACTTGTCGGCGGGGCAGGGGGAATATATTAATGCCTACTTGCAATTATGTGCTGTGCCCGGCGTCAATGTGTTGAAATTTTATTAATTAAAAATACTTTTCAATTAAAGTTAATGCGATCAGCATTTATGTAATTCTATGTGTAAATACGTTGTAAACCCTTGAAACAACGCATTATGAAAATACCGTGGGCAGCCAATATGAGGATTTTTAATGCCAAGCCACAGAGCCTTTCAATCAGCATCAGCTTCAACCTTTGCAATATTTTCAGACATTAAATTCCATCTTTTTATTTAAAAACTCGTTTACACTGCAATCATATTTTACTTTAATCTCATTTTTTTGTACTATTTGCCATCTTTCCTTTGAGGTTTTTCTTCAATTCTGTTTTCCCCAAGAGCAAAAACCACTGCGATGTCAAGTGTGTAAAGACTATTTTTTTAGCCCTTTGTTATGGCCTCAGTTAGTTTTTACTTAGCACTTAGCGAAAGGCTTAAACTGCGACTCAACTCCGGCCAACATCCGGCAATGAAATCGGCTCAAAGTTGGAGTCTGGTCTTTGGAGTCCGGAGTTCGGAGTCCGGAGAGTCTGAAGTCTATCTCATTATGCTCAAATGCACTTGCAATGGCTGAGAGCTCTGAGCTGCTCACAGAGCGATAAACAATATTCATGATTATGAAAACTTGTGCGGCGTTCGCCTTCGCACTTCAAATCTGTGAAAGCGAGGGCGGATAGCAGAGATCCAGGGTTAAAGTAAAGAAGGTTTAATTTTAATCCTTTCAGCTTTGCATTGTCTGAGGCCACGTGGTGGTGAAAGCCATAGAAGGAAGCTTTGTAATTATATATGTATATTGAAGGAGAGTTGGTTCAAATTGCTAGTTGAAAAATTAATCTGATTAAAGGTAAGTCTATTGGGCTTAAAACAGAGTTTATTGTTCAACAATAAATGTAGATTTTCTTTGTTTTGAATTCAAAGTTAAACGTTTCATTTAACATAAATTATATATGTAATCCAATCATGTATTTAACTTTATCATTAGAGTAAAAATAATTGAGAATTAATATGGAAAAATCCCAGCTTTTCCAAAAACTTTGAAAATCTCACCTTGGCCTTTCACATACCAACCTCTCTCAGCCAATGTAATTTCAGCTTCAATTGTCGCAGTCTCAGTCCCAGATGCCCAGCATCCCGAAATCCGAGAGTCCTGGAATCCGAGAATCCGTTTACCTTTCCAATACGCTTCGAGCTGCCCTCCTTGGGCTGGCCGGAGTTTGCGTTTGGAGCAACTCCATTAAGCGAACGCACTGGGTGGGCTTCGAATAATCCAGAGCTGGCTATTTCCTCATCCAAAGGCTCCAGGCAATGACCACACAGATACGGATACATCTGCAGATACGAGGCAGGCATGTGGATGTGTACATATATATTTTGGCAAAGCATCGAGTCCTTGCCGCAGAGGCCAACTGAAATGAAGTGTCATTGTGACTGAGCCCCGGCAACTGCAGCTGCAGCACCAGCTTTGGCAGCAGGGGAACTGGCTGTGCTGCAGCAGCCAGTGCACAGCATCCAAAGGATCCAAAGGACCCCAAGGACTCGCGCAGTGCCCAGGCGACACATTTACACGCACTGCTGCAGCCGCAGCGCTGCCTCACGTACTCGGCATTGTGACAAATGGATTTTCGCATGAAATCCCCAGGATTTCTTCAAGTGTAATTGCGCACGCTAAAAGCGAATGCGAATGCGGATGCATTTGGCGGTATCCCTCTCCAAAAAAAAAAAAAAAAAAAAACTTTTTGGAATGTTCTATAGTCCCGAGTTTCAACCTCAATATACCCTTTAAATTATTATAAAATGATAGAATTTCTGTTTTTGGGATGTTTGTTATTATTTTCATTCAATTAATGATTTTTATTTATGCATAAATATAATTAAAGGGTGGGGTTTTCAAAATATAAAAAAATATCTCGTCACCTTTATTCATCGTGCTTACTCGTTCTCCTAATTTTCGTCTTTTTTCGTTGTCGATATTCGTTGTCTAACTCGTCGCTCTAACTCGTTGTCCTAACTCGTCGTCTTAACTCGTCGTCTTAACTCGTCGTCTAAACTCGTCGTCTTAAGTTGCAGTCTTTACTCGTCGTCTTAACTCGTCGTCCTAACTCGTCGTCCTAACTAGACGTTCTAACTCGTCGTCTAAACTCGTCGTCTTAAGTTACAGTCTTTACTCGTCGTCTTAACTCGTCGTCCTAACTCGTTGTCCTAACTCGTCGTCCTAACTGGTCGTCCTAACTGGACGTTCTGACTCGTCGTCTTAACTCGTCGTCCTAACTCGTCGTCTTAAGTTGTAGTCTTTACTCGTCATTGTTAATCGTAGCCTTAAATACGTGGTTAGCTCGTTGTCTTTACTCGTTACAGTTTAACTTACTCGTCCGTACATCATAAATCGAATATACTTTTGGTAAGTAGTGGGTAGAAAAATGTGGATTTGAGTCCACTAAACGAGCATTTAATTTCATGCACTTGCGAACGTTTA